TAACAAATATGTTATCTGATCTGACATTAAAGCAACAAGAGTTAATCCAAAGAAGAATGGAACATAACATTTTCTGAATTTACCCTCAACGACGACAACCATTGCTTCTTATATATTCAAGGAAGTCAGACACATGAAGTACCTAAAGCCCTCGTCTATTTACCGGATAAAATTATTAAATATAAAGTTGCAGATTATGTCAGCTCCACCACTGCCAATATCTACGCGCTAATAACAACGCTTAAATCAGACATGCAAACACATTTATCAAACTTCATAATTTTTTCAAACTCATTGCTAATATCAAGTATTATTTTCAACAAAAATATTAAATCTAAAATGAAATCAACTAAACTAGATCTGTTCTACCAAATCTACATGTCGAGGAAGAACGTCACTCTTGCTTGGATTCCATCTGTACTTAAACCACATGTCGTAAACAGGGAAAACAGAATAAGAACTGAAGAGAACAAGTGACTCTAACCAGAATGTAGACGTAACACTCCAAAATAAGCCATCTTCAATCTCATAAAAAAAAAAAAAAAAAAAAAAAAAAAAAAAAAAAAAAAAAAAAAAAAAAAAAAAAAAAACAAACCTTCCCAGAACTTGCAACACAAGCAGCTCTATTATCAACACTGACAATATTATTAATTCATGCCATAAACTTTTAGTACAGAAAAGAAACCTATTACGGGGCTTAGATGTCAATGGTTCACTATATTTCTCAGCCCATCAAGATTATGTCATCAACTTTTGTAAAATTACTGGTATTATCTCAGAAATGTAAACATTAATCAATGCACTAATTTTGTAATATTGTAATTTTGTAATAAACTATGTGAATTGTATACCAAAACACACACAATATATGTACTAATTACTGTATTTAATTTAGTCGCTAATGGCCGTATGTGTGATGCGACTTAAAGTAAACGAAAAAAAAAGACAAAACCGAAAGGTGCTTTAAATGGCTTTTGAAAAAAGGAGATAAAATATTTAATTGTAAAGACCATTGTCGTTAACAATGTATGTAATGCGGAAAATACGTTTAGTAATGAAAACTCCAGAATTGATCCAGTGCAGCCCCTTTCCCTGCAGAGATCTCAGCTGAGAAAATGGCAATAAAACCAGAAAAAAAACAAAAGAGCTTCCAGATATCAACAATAACAAGTATAATTCACAATATGGAGCTGTTTGTTTTTACGTAAAATAATACATTGAATATGCTGGGTAATTCCTAGTAAAAACTACCTCTACTCCTCCTTACAATGCAACTTCAAATTTTGCATTCTGCTCGAACTCGTAAACTTCACTCCTAATCATGCGTTGTGCTGACGCTGCAGCTGAGACCGAGAACTGAAGCCGTGGTTGAGAACTCATGTCTTTGAGAATATGTGTTACATATTTTAAATAAATAATAAGAAGTCTACAGATCTTCAAATTTGGAGATTGATGCATCTGGTCAGCTACCTGCTCATCAATAATAGCATGACTGAAGCTAAAGCGTCCAGAATTCTAATACAAGAGGAATTTAATAGACCTCGACTTCGGAAGAGAACTTTAACGGTTGGTACATGGAATGTAAAGAATTTAAGTAATAAATGAATACATATAACTACGGAATTAAAGAAATTAAATCAAAACAGAATTGTCTTAACGGAAACGAAAAAGAAAAGGAATGGTGTAGAAGTCGAAGAACCATATATTCATTTTTATAGTGGAGTGTCAAAAGATAAACGTACGAGACGAAACATTTCTGTATTAATCAACAAAAAAACTTTAAAAATACATAACGAATTGGGAAGAAAAAATGAAAATTTAATAATTGTAAGCATGGATATATTTGGAAATAAAATAAATATAATTAATGTTTTTGAAATAAGTGAAGATCAAAAGTCTATAATGAAGGATAAATATTATCAAGAACTAAACTATGCAATAAAAGAAATAGGTAATTCAAGAGATATCATAACGTTGGGAGACTAAATACTAGGATTGGGAGGAAATACAGAAATAAAGTAATTGGATCTTATAGAGAAGATATTGTAAATAATACTGGTAAAGATTGATAGAAATTAGTGATCAAAATAGTTTGAAAATACTAAGCGGTTTTTATCAACATAAAGTCATTCATAAATACATATGGAATCATGATTCTTTAAAGATATCAAAAATATACTATATTATAAGAAAAAAAATCAAAATTAAAGGTTCAAGAAGTTAGTGCTTTCAGAGGTCTAAGTTATGACACAGACCATTATTTAGTTAATTCAAAGATATTGTTTTCTTTTAAACATACAAATTCAAAAATAAATCAAAGTGAAGATAAGATAATTACAAGGAACTGTGTTGAATATAATGTAAATTTATTAAAAGATCAAGTATTTTTTATTTCTACCAAAAAATATTGGATAAAAAACTAATTGAAACTGAATTTGAGAGTGTAGAGGGACAGTTTAGATATATTGTAAATAACATTAATATGACAGCAAAAAAAGCATTAGCTGAAAAAAAACATAAATTTATATACTATTGGAGTGATTAAATTTAAAATTTATGTAGAAGATAAAAGAAGTACCTCAGGTATTTCAAAAAGTATCTTAGGTACTTAAAAGTTTTAATAATACAATCATACCTACGTATTAATGTTGAAGATATGGCAAATGGAGTTATATTACTAATTTCCAATGCGCACAGACATTGAAAGAAAATTGTTTGCGTCGGGTAATTGGTTGGTTCGGGATGGTTCGTTTTATGTACCCAGGAGCTCGGGAAACAATTAGTTTCGATTGGGCCTGAAACATGTAAATATTTGATTGGGTCATTTAGCCTGTTCCCACTGTCTGCGCACCGAATGAGTTGTCACACTCAAACCGCCACTTCTTAACATGCGATAGCAAGGCTCCAAGAAAGATTTAGATTTATTCAGTCAATAAAAAAGTAAAAACTGTATGAGACGTAGGGGGGAAAATATTATCTACGCCTAGGGACCGGTGCAACCCACGCCAGGCCGCACCCTCCCACCCCCAAACCGAGCGACGCCGCTGCCGCGCCCTTTCTTCCCGGAACCCGAGTGACGGTGGGGTTTTCCCAGAAATTGGGAAGGCGCGGGCGTTCGTCACCAACGCCGCGATAGGGCGGAGAGACCGCGTGACGCGCGCCCACCAATCGCGAGGAATAACGCGGGGGAGGGCCACGCGATCCGCTAAGTCTTCCTGGCAAGCTCGGGACGCAGGCTCGGTCACTTACATTCGGAGCCGCAGAGACAGCAGTACAATCTATTCCATTCGGAGCCGCGGAGCCGGCCTTACTTGCACTTCTATTCGGAACAGCGAAGAAAACTAGTCACTTCTTTTCGAATCCGCGGATAGAGCTAGTTATTCTGTTCTGATTCACGGAGCCAGTGCACTCCGTTTCTGGTTGCCCGAATGCCGCGCAGCCGTCGCAACATCTCAGACCGACTCTGGAGTCGGTGGCTCGAACAATTGTAGTGGGCCATGCCCGCAAGTGCCTGACTGCGAGCCCGGAGTGACGACGGGCCGGGGCACGAGCAACGCGACCACGGGTCGCACTGCCATCGCACGGGGCGATGCACTATTGCCCGTCTGCTGCCGTACCGCGAAGCCAGCCAGCCAGCCAGCCGACGACCGCTGCTAGCGCAACAAGAGGGGCCCGCGATCCCCGGCTGCCGCGCTGACGGACAAGGGACGGGGGTAAGGGGCCGCCTGAACCGCACCATTGCCAGACGCTGGGACGCGGGGCTCCCACTCCCGCAAGCCGGGTCACGACCTCCCGACAGGACAATGCCCAACAGGCACAGATGAACTCTGGCCACGCCGGCCGCATAAGTTACGATTAGTTTTAAGGTAGTTAGTAAGCGTAATTTAATATGGGGCTTCACCTACATTGCAAATTTGGCATATTAAACTCATGTTAACCCAAATGAAACCTTGTTTGAATGTAGTAATGGTAGTAGTAGTCAGCCCCCAAACACGCATGCCTCCCTCTTGGAAGTCTACCGACCGAGCAACCGGGGCAATGCTAAATACGAGGAAGGAAAATCAGGTAAACAGCACCATCGGGGGTCACCACGACGGTGTGGGTTGTTACAGTATATACACACACACACTCTTTGATATACCCATTCATACATGACTATGTTGCCTTACTATGTTAACTTTCTCTCAACTTATGTCTAATGACAAGGCTCCGTCTTCCTATATGTTGTATATATTATTATTTATTTATCTCTTCCCTGTTCTTCGCATACTGTAAGCTGGCATTCTGCCGTTCTCTCCGGTCCTCAGCGACGTCCTCCTATGCGTCGTCGGTCTTTCAGATTTTGTTCCTTAATTCTTCGTTATTCTAACATTTGTTTCCATTACTACACACGTTCTCCACTCATATGTTTACTTTAATTATTCATGTCTGCTCGCAATCAAATTCTAAACTTGCGCGTGGCGCAGCTCTCTTGTCTCTTTGGTGTGGAGTTTTTGCTAAAAATTGTTCATTCTTCGTAACGTTTGCATCACTCCCCTTCTTGTTTAACGTCTACGTTTCTACTGATTTTATCATCACCTATCTGCGTTTCACACTTTACTCTGTGACAACTCCACTCCCAGTAATTTTCTAAATTTAATTATATTCACGGAAATTCCTCACGTAATCAATTCAAAACTAAAAAATCACACTATTTCCCCCTATTTATCATTTTCAACACCGATTAATTTACCGTTGTTTATAATGTTTATCTCCGTTGTTGTCACTGAAACATCATTTTGAAAACACTTCTTTTTAATTATAATGTGTTATGCCTTTCAAATGGCCTATCAAAGTTCAGCAGCAGTTTTGCTGCTTTATGCTGATAGCATAGACATTTTTTTCTCGATTCACGCATTTGAGATGTTTTAAAATTTATTAATTTTGAAGACTTTGGAAAATGTTAACAAAAATCCTGAGAAAATATTTCAAGAGAAGCGAATCACCCTGTGTTTTTACAGAGGGCCCGTATGGATTTCCGCTGCGCAACGAAGACCCCCTTCCGGACTTTCGCTTTGCATTACTATGCCCCGAAAAAACGGAAGATGGCAATTTCAAGTCCAATTGCGATTCGGGTGAAGAAATGAATATTGAAAATGGATGCGGAGACACAAGCAGAGAAGACGATATGTTACACTGCCTGGAGTCGCCTCGAACAGACGTATGTACCAAAGTTTTAAAAGTAGTCTCTTCCATTTGAAGCACTTTGAAAATAATCCAATGTCAAATATAACAATCTTCCATATATGTGAACAACTAACATTACTGTTAAACTGGTGTTGAATGTTTATGGTAAGTACAAATATAATCAAACATGTACAGTACACATCATTACACACTTTATTCACATGCAATAGTTCTTTATACACCAAGGGCGTTATAAGGGCTCCAACGATCGAGCGGACAAAGGTCCGGGAGCTTCTTGTCGCCCGAGATCGTTAGAACTAGTTAACGCTCGTGGTACATACACGATTTTATTCTTTACACAATTTTAATGATTTAGATTTACTTATTTACTAATTAACTAGTTCTTAATTTGATTCTGTTATCTTTTTAATTTCTCTACCTTAATTCCCTTTCATTATTCCCTTTCTTAATTCCCTCCATAAGAGAACTTGTAGCATCATTCAACAGTTTTCATATATCCCTCGTAACCAAGATCCTCTCGATCCAGGTAAGTTATGAAATCCACATCAAAGGAAAAAACAATCAATGCAAATGCATACAAAATGGAGAACCGATCGCTGGGTTGCTATTGCTTGCTATTGCTATGCTATTGCTTTACATTATGCCTACATATTTTATCATCTCCTGTATTATAGGTTTTGGAAAAAAAGTCAATCGAAGTTTTCATCAACATTCAAGCACTTTGTGATAAATGTATATATAATATTTATTTAATTAATTAGATAGTATTATATTCAATTAATATTAAATGCTTTATGCACATTGGAGGTGCAAAAAATTGTCGTTGTGACAAAATATATCTGGTACAAAAACTATTTATTGCATCCGCCACTGATCATCATATCCAGTCCAAGTCCACATATAACTTGCATGACTTGCAGAGCGATGGACAATGGACATCCGGGGATCATTAAAACTCTTCGTAACGCTACCGGAAGACCATTTGTTGATGTTCCGCAGCCACCGCCTACCTATACTCCGATTTAAACAAGTGGCACTTCAAGAGCTCCAATACCAAAAACTTAAGTCGTAACGATGCTCGCGATTGGATGGCAGTGCCCAGCTCGTAACCTTGAAGTACTACTGTTTAAATTGAAGTAAAGAACCTACCTACCGTTGACATGGGTAGCCTAAAACAAGAGGGAAGGCATCGATATCTCTGGCCTCCCTTTCCATTGAACTTTTATTATGACATATTTTATATTAAATCATGCTACATAGATAATGAAATTTAGACTTTCATAACCCAATTAATAAATATGAATTATTTTATGTTAAACCATTAACAGCGTTGTCAGGTGACTTACAGTGTCTCTTTCTCAAGTCCTGAATAACAATTACCCAGATTAACAAAAAAGGGGTAAATCAGATTTTGAAATATTTAAAGAAACAAAATATTTATGAAAGGCTCAGAGGCCCCTTTCAAAAGTTTCAGAGGAGCCACGGACCCTCTGCTCCCACTCTGCGCACACTGCTACTACCTACAGCCCCCCTGTATGTACGCCTGTACCTATCCACATTCGAAATATGTATAATTAAAAATGTAAACTAGTGGTGATATATAATGGCAAAGGCTTTCTCTTAGTAAAACTCTAATTTCCTTGGTGTGGACGGGCTTTACGGGCTTCCACATCCTCTTGTCACATGCCATTTATCGCCGCCCAAAGTATATTTTTTTAAAATTGTTTTCAGTTTTTTCGGTTTCTTGACAGGAGAACCGAAATAATACTTTAAGAATTTAAAGAAGATTAACACCTCCTCTAAATAGCAATTTATATTGAAAAAATTAGAGCCAATGACGTTTAAGCGTTACTGTAAATGAGAAATTTGAAGCTCGTTTTCACAGATCATTTTTTCGAATTTTCGAAAAACATTTTTGAAAGTCATTTGAAATACTTTCACTTCCAATAGCAATACTGTTTACAAATGACTGAAAATGTGCATATTTACGGCGTGATAGATATTAAACTAATGATGTTACAGAATGTCACAGACTTTCCCGTATTAGTTTCCTATTTCCTTTGGTCTCGGCTAGCTATTTGAACTTGCCACATACACCTTGCCTGGTGTTATCTATCGCCGCCCAAAGTATATTTTTTGAAATTATCGGTTTGCTATTAACAGAACGGACGTATTATTTTAAGAATATTGAAGAAGAGTAAAACTAAGTCAGACATAGCAATTTTCTTCGAAACATTTGGACCCGTTTTTAAGAAAATGGCACTTTAGCGCAACAATAAATTCGATTTTTTTGTTTATTTATTTATTTCCACAGACCAGCATAACTGCTTTACAGGGATTGTTTACATATAATAACAACTTAAAATACAAGTATACAAATAAATAAGACAACAGAATACCTTTCAATCAACATTTGAACAAGGATAACATTCATAAAAAATACAGTCATTCTTTAGATAAATAGAAATAAGGGCAGCCCAACAGATTCCTCATTATTGTTTGATGTTTTACAAGTAAGTTTGTTGATTATTCTTTGCATTATTTATTCTAATTCTGAAAGATTTAAGGGAGTCAGCAAATTGTATTAGATATTTATCATATGGAAATCTATTTTTGATTCGGGATGTTGTTGCTGATGAATCAAGATTGTAGTGGTCAGTTGTTGGTATATTATGCCAAGATGTGAAAAAGGAATGTGACCGTTTGAGCACAATATGATGTCTAGTTTCTGTTTTTAATTCTGAGTGTAATTGATTGTTTCTAATGAACCAGGGGGCATTTACAGCCATACGTAGGATCTTATTTTGAAATGTTTGTATTTTCTTGATATTAGTCGCAGATGTGTTGTACCATATTGGGCATGCATACATTATAATGGGAAAAATTATTGCTCTGTACAGGACTAGTGTACATTCTGTTTTGAGAACGGTTTTTCGATTAATTGGTGGGAACAATTTATGAAGTATTCTATTTGCTTGTGTGATTTTGTCATTTATATGGTTTGTCCATGTTAGTCTGGTGTCCATTAAGATTCCCAGATATTTAATAGGTTTCTTTTTTGGTTACCAATCCAGTGTTTTATCAAGTAGTTTTAGGGGTTTGAGAGTAGTGTTTATTGGGCATAGAGTGAACATTTTTGCTAGACATTTGTTCGGGTTTAGTTTTATCTTCCATTTGTCTGCCCATTGTGTTACTTTGTTCAGTTCATGTTGTAGATTTTTTGTGGCTGTTTTTAGACACTTGTCAGAGGTTAGAATTGCACTGTCATCAGCAAATAATGCTATTGTTGTGTTTGGAGTTGTTGGGAAATCTGCTGTGAATATATTGAACAAAGGTGCAGATAATGGGCTGCCTTGTGGTACTCCAGCTGTGATTTCTTTCTGTGTAGAGTAGGTTGAATTTATTCTTAATGAAAAAACTATTTCTTTTAAGAAGCTTTTTATTATTTTTAGCAAGTAAAGGGGTAATCCGGATTCTTGTAATTTAAATATCAAACCCTCGTGCCAAACTCTGTCAAATGCTTGGGTTACATCTAAAAATACTGCCAGTGTATGCTTTTTTTGTTCAAAGTTTTTATATATTAATTCTGTAATTCTTAATAGTTGATCTGTTGTCGAGTGCTTTTCTTTGAATCCAAATTGAAAAGGTGGTATGTATTGTATTTCATTAATATATTGCAGAAGTCTTTTAAGAATTAGTTTTTCCATTACTTTGGCAATAATAGGGATTAGGCTTATAGATCTATAGTTTTCTGTAGATGATGGGTTTTTGCTTGGTTTTGGAATTGGTATTACTATAGCGTGTTTCCATTTTTTGGGGCAGTACCCTGTTCTTAATATTGCATTGAATATTGCAGTTAGGTAGCTAATTGCTTTCTTATTTAGTTTGTGTAAAAGTATGGTTGGTATTTGATCAATTCCAGCTTATTTTTTCTTAGATAGCTATTTGTTCGTTTGGTATGTTTCATTTGGTGATATATATTTTACTGGGTGTGGAATTGTTGTTACATCACAGTTATTGAAATGGTTTAAATTGTTATTGTTTGTGGTTGTATTTGGAGTAAATGTTTCTTGGAAATGTTCTGCTAGTATTTCACATTTTTTCTTTGTTGTTGTAGCTGTTTTATCTAATTTCTTTAGTTCTGGTATGATTGTTGGTTCCTTCTATATTTGTTTTGTAACCTGCCATAAATAGCTGCCTTTAGGATTTATTTTTTTTAATGTAGATTTTATATTGTTGGATTTTGTGCTCGTCTAAAACTAGTTTTACTTGGTGTATTAGTTTATTTAGTATTTTCTTTAAGTCTGGGCTTCTATATTTCTGCCATTGCCTGCGTATTTTGTGTTTCTTTTGAATTAATTTTTCAATGCAGTTAGGTATTGAATGTTGTGTATATTTTGGTTTATAATTTGGGTTAGTATTTGCTTCTTTGGCTGCTTTTTGTATGATTTTAGTGAAGGTATCTATGGCAATATCAATTTCTTCTTTGTTTTTCATGAATTGGTTTGTGGGAAGAGAATTATCGACGTTTGTTTGAAATTTTACCCAATCTATGTTTTTTGTGTCTAAGCCAAATGGTAACTCAGTTTTAATATAGTTCATATCAAAAGTAAGAAAAACAGGACAGTGGTCAGAGTCTAATTCAGGTAACACATGAGATAGAGGGTATGTTTTAAATTTTTAGAAATGGTAATGTCAAGGATATCTGGATCAGCATTACAGTTTTTGGGGTAGTGAGTAGGGTTTGTAGGAGCTATGATTTGAAAGTTTAATGTTGATGATGCTTTTAGTAATTTTCTCCCATTAGGTGTATTCACTTTACAACCCCAATTGATGTGTTTGCTGTTTAGATCTTCCAATAAAATTGTAGCTTCTGAATTATGTAATATTAGCTTTAATTAATTTATATTGATTTGTTTTTTAGGTGGTTTATATGTTGTAATGATATTTAAATATTCACTTTTTAAAGTTATTTTTACTGCAATCAGCTCTAGGTTGTTCGATTTTGGAATA